TTCTGGTCCATATAGTCTGCACTATTCAAAGTGTTTTTGTATTTACAGATGTTGTTAAAAAAAAATGTAAATAAAATAGACCAGTTGGATCTGTTTTGCAATACTGCCATTTACAGCATCACCCATAATGTAAAATCTCCTGGATAGGGGTTTATTGTGTATGCAAAGGGCTCCATTTTGAAAACGACTGGACCAGTAGTAGATCCCAACTAAAGTGTCCCCACAGTACACAGCAAACGTATAAACTGATTGTGATCATTCCATCCATAACCAGTTATTTTTTTCTTTTCTCCAGTCACGAAAGGTTTCGTTTACAGCTCTTTTTTGAAGCCATATAATCCCCGGCGCAGTCACTCAGATGCATCCATCGGCAGCCAATCTTCCACTGAATCTGGCTACGGTGGCTCCTCTCCAAACTTCTCCAGACAGAATAGCAATAGCACTTTAACATTCAACCAGAACAACTCCTCAGTGAGCTTCAGTGCAAAATCCAATACAGATTCCTCTCCCCCAGGTAGTATCCTACCTTTGTCCAAACCCGCTCAAGCTGACTTCAATTTGTCTACAAGGAGCTGTGAAACAGACTGTGCCCTTCCGCTACCAACAAGTGACCAGGGACCAAGCAGTTCTAGAGAAAACATGGTTGCCACGGAGACTGTTAAACAGATGAAGCACACAGAGGCCAGTCGCCGAGGCAGCCAGCCTGAAAATGGGAATAATGCTACATTACAAAACAATGGAGAAAAAGGTCGTGTATCAGATGGTTCTAACATTTATCGAAAGAAAGCCAACTACCCCCTGTCTGTTGATTCGGAGGAAGATAGCGGTGAAGGAAACCAGGTAAGACACAGAATAATTGATTCTTGATTGGCAGTCCAACATGAATATAATTCAAAACAGAATTTCCACAAGCATTCTATAAAACTAGTTCTAGAATACCCTAAGAGCAACTATTGCTACCTTGGCACTTCGGAAGGCTGGCTCTGTCTCATAGGGAAATGTAGTTCACATGGAACTTACATCCCAAGGATAAACATCACTGCCATACACTAGTTAATTAAATAATCAATACTGCGTGTGAACTTTCGTGTAACACAGAATCAATATGGTGGTTTTGAGGCTGTAGAATGGATATGTATTTTCGCTTTCATGTTTATTTTCTTTGAATTGGGATAGACACACAAGCAGAAGAGTGTTCACTTCACTCTTATCTAGACCATGGTGGTTCTCTGTTCCAGTACCACTACTTCTCACTGCAGTGGTTATGGTGCCAAGATAGAATGATTTAGTTGATGTGGCTAAATCTAGCACTCTCAGAATATCATAGTTGGACACATGAATGTTGAGGTCCACTTTCATATTGGTTGGGCAGAAACAGACTGATAGGACTGCAGCCACAGAATATTAGCAACATAACTATTGCAATGAGCTGTAGTATTTTGGGTGTTTAGAAAGTCCATTTTATATATTTTCTTAACTTTGCCATAATCCTTGTTTTCTCCCAAATCCTCACCTATGTCAAATTGAGTATCTTCTTGTCGAATCCTGATCACTCTTATTTCCTGCCTCTCTCCTTTATCCATCCTCCTTCCCATTTGTAAACATTTTTCTGATAAAAATTGTAAGACAAGGTCCATTTGTACACCTTCCTTGTCTATGGTCTTATTTATTAAATACATTTTACCGGGAGTCTGGCAGACTTTAAGTCTATTTTTTTTCCGTTGCAGGTGTATTATGCCGTATATACATTTGAAGCCCGCTCTCCCAATGAACTTTCAGTTTCAGCTAATCAGAAACTTAAAATTCTGGAATTCAGAGACATGAATGGGAACTCTGAATGGTGGTTGGCTGAAGCAGGAGGAAAAAGAGGCTACGTGCCATCAAGCTACATCCGTAAAACAGAGTACACGTGAAATTAAATACAGGCCCTGGACATTTTTATTCCTTTGTTTGGAATGGAAACACTTTTGTGCCTTTTCTGGGATGAATTTTCTTTAAATTTCTGCTGAAATAACGAACAATATTTATGATGGATGAGTCTTTAAGCAAGCAGACTTAGATCAGGCAGCTTGTATGCCCATGCTGAATCTGAGAGTATTTTGAGGTTTCGTGCAGTTTTGGGTTGGGCACATTGTTAAGGCACATTATAGCACTATGGATGTTCTTAGTTTGGTCCAACTCTTTCATTGGGTGGGTTGTTGACCACATTGAATTTTGTACTGGTGGACCTGTATCCTAATAAAATAATAATGACAAGGGGACTGATTTGTTCTGCTTTATTATGAAATAGAGAAGCAAAACATGGAATGTTGATAAATTTGGTCAGTAAGATGAGGCATTCCTCTGAGGCTTTCCCCCCTTTTTATTTTTAAAAAGAGTATCAATGTTTAAAATTAGTGTTTCACTTTCTGGACAAAGCGTTCTCTGCTCACCCTTGGGAGATCTAAATAGCAGTCTTACACATCTAAACTTTGGAATGGCAAGTGACGTGCTGTAGAATAATATTTTTATTCTGCTTGTTAAAATTAACTTAATATTTTTAGTTGCCATAACATTAAACTGATTGGGTTTTTCGCAAAACATTTGCTCAGCAACATTAAATTTTAATTTTTTTTGGGGGGAGGGGTTTGTTAAATTTTGTGGTTTCCTTTATTGTCATTATGCCAATAGCCATTACTGAAGCTTAAATCAACAATGCTATTAATTCAAGTAATATGTTTATCCAGGACATTTCCTTCTACTTGTCATTCTTATTACTTCTATGTGTGCTGCTGATCAGAAAACCCAACAGTATTTCTTTCATAGACCATTTTTTATTTAATTGTATGTTTATGCAGCAAACAATAGTGTTGCGAAATCTGGGCCGAAATGTGGTGCATAGTTTAAGTTTTTTAAGGCCTACATTTTGCAACAGTATTGATAACTCACTGTTTGGTTAATAAAGTCCAAATATTTTGAGCAGCCCAGAAATTTTGTACCAGCCCTTCCCAATACATTAATTTGTGATCTTAATGGTTGGCTATACCTAGGTTTGCTAGATTTTACAATGTTTTCTGAACATGTTTAACTTTTTCATGGTGATGGGCAACAAATGAAACATATTACCCTTCAGTCTTCTAACAACACTATTCATACATATCATTTAAATAGATCTAGCTAGTTGTCTATTAATGAGTCAAGGTGAGATTTTCAAAGAACTGATGGATCAATTCCCATCTTCCACGTATGAATACTGCACTCTTAGGGATAGTAATTTCATTTGCTGCCTATGATCATGAATATGATTTACTAAAATATTTAAAAAATATATATATATATTTTTAATTAGCTGCTATAATTATTGAAAAAGCCCTTTCTGTACCTAAAAATCTTCCATCACAAAAAGTGAAACCCTTGTGTCTAATTAGAAAGAAGTGACTGATTACACTACACATGGACGAACGTTGAATACTAAGCAGAAAATCCGACTGCTTTGTTCTTACGTTCAGTTGTTTTTGTATATTGACTGGCTCCTTCTCACATCCCTAGCGTCTTGCAAGGGGTCAGGCAACAAACTTTTTGTAAAGCATATCAATTCCTATGAAATGATTATACTATGTATATACTATGTGTATTAAACAAATGGCAACTTGTACCAAGTATAGATCAAAACGAGTCGAACTACTGATGTGATGGGGTTAGAGATGTAACATTTCTTGTTTTTATAAAGTCAGTAGCTGAATATTTTATTTCTTAGACATAAATGTTATTAAAACTTAACCGTTGCACTTTGTTTTCTAATAGGCACATTCTTAGAATATACAGGTTACCTTTTTTGACTTTAAATCTCTTAGAACAAAAACCCTATTGTGTCCTCTTATATTTTTATATCTTTCTTTCTGCAGAGGAATGAAATTTAACTTTTTGGCAGGAGGTTCATTGAGAATAGGCAGGTCCACCATATTGTGAAATGCTACAAAACACCAATAAACCTCACATCTTCTTAATAAGCATGTCTAAGAGTGTGTTTTTATGTGTGCGTGTGTTGTATAAGAGTAAATTACTGCTATGGTTACAGGAAGAACCATACTAGATCAGTCAAACTTTGTATATTAAGGAGCAGAAAGGAAGGATGGTGACCTTTTAAGGGCAAACTGTGGCTATTATCCAACTCAAATGCTTGATTGACATGGTCTTGTTTCCTCACTTTCTGGTTTTATTTGTGGAACAGGAGAAAATTATAAAGTGTACATACAGTTATATTACTAGGATCCCTCTAATGACACGAGTGAGATAAAAGGTTGTTTGACACCTGATAGAGGACCAGCCATAGAGAAAACTATAAAGCGGTTTCCCTTTTTTTATACTTTCAGTTATTCACTATTAATTGATTGATTCAAGTATTAATTGATCAGAATTGAAAGTGAATTTTATAATGTGGGCCAGGATTGCTGAATGGCAAAAAAAAAAAACACCAAGCCCCAAAATCGTAAATTTGACTGTTTATTTTTTAAGTCGCTTTTGTGGCCCGAAATTTTAAACTCATTTGGAATTCCCATCAATTAATACTTTAGTAAATAACTAAATAACTCTGTTTAGAAAATATTTCATTGCTGGGTTAAATTGAATGACCACTGCCTTCATACATGCAACACTGTGGGGACAGGGCTACAGTTAAACCCAGCCCATGCAGTGTGTATTACGGCAGACTTCATTCACTTTTTCCTATTTGCAAACCAGAGTAGAAAAAGAGAATTGACAGCATCTTGGTTCTCAAAGCTGTTTATTGGATGCAATAGTCAAATACAGTAGAACGGACTCGCAGTCCCAGTGTCATTAGAATAATCAACAGTTTGAACAATAGTAGGTAATTATACAAGTATTTAGAGTAAATGTGTACAACAAGCGAAATTAGTCAGGTGGACGACAAGGTTGCGACTCATAGATTGTTAAACTATAAGCGGTATGCTGAATTCGGCACATTTGAGGTGTTCATCATGACTTTTTGGGCATCAGACTTTGCCTCATGGGAGATGTGCAGATTATTTGAGGTCGTGGGTACCCGTGCTTTCAAGTGTGCTTAGGTGTGTGACCTTGTTGGCCAAATGCGCCTATTATGTCTGGTAGAGTTTTCAGGGGGTGTCTCTGCCCTGGCATATTGGGTGATGTGTGCTAATCTGGTCACTTCGGGACGGTCCACCTCTGGGGTCTGTTTGTCATGGGAGTATCGTTTTATGTCTCTGGGGTGAATGTCCCCATATCGCTCCCCAGGTAATTAGATGCCTTGGCTGTGTCAGCTGTGTAGCTACGTTTGGTATTCCTTTGCACCCGTGGGTCTCATCCCATATTTGATGGTGAAGGCTATCGGACCTAGGCTGGATATCATTAGCTGTTTATGTGTATTCCCTGTTTGTATTTCGTGATGTTGTGGTTGAGGTGTTCGTCACTAGCCAGATGTATGGGCGTGGATATATGGTGTGTCCGTTGGTAACCTCGGGTTGAATTATACTGCTTCTGCTATTCAGTCAGCTTAAGTATCATTGTTGGAGAACTTAGATGAAAGACGAGTGAGAGTTAAGAGAAGAAGATGGGGGAGAAGGGGAGAGCGGGATGAAGGAGGGGTGTATAGAGGGGTAGGGGAGCCCATTGCCTGTGCCTGTGGTTCCTGTGTGTGTTGTATCGGGTCTCGTTCTCCATATAGGAGTTTCTTCAGGCATGCAGGCGTTTGCTCCCGTCCGTGTTCCGGTCCGCTATATAGATCAGCCACGGGCGCCATCTCTCCACATGTTTTTCCTCAAGACCCATAAGGGTGGCCTGTGTTGATTCTGCTCTGTATATCTCTTCCACCCGCTCCATCCATTGTGCTATTGTTGGGGTAGCCGTCTGTTTCCGGTGCAGCGGAATAAGTGTTTTGGCAGAATTCAATAGGTGTCTAAGAATATTTTTGCGGTACGTCCCAATGGTGTCTGGTGTGGAGTGTAGGAGAGCTGCCTCTGCGTCACAATTTCCGTCCGTCCCCAAGATTTCCTCAGTTTTCTGTTTTACTTCTTCCCAAAACAGCGTAATGAGTGGGTATTCCCACCATATATGCAGTGGTGTACCCCGCTCTTCCCCACATCTCCAACATGTGTCAGGTACATTTGGAAAGATTCTGTGCAGGCTATCAGGTGTTCTGTACCAAAATGAGAGAAGTTTGTAATTTGTTTCTTGGTATTGGGAACTCGATGAGCATTTATGGTGAAGAATAAGGACCTTATCCCATTGGGCTGCGGTGAAGGATGTATCCAGCATGCGTTCCCAGCGTCCCATTGGTCGTTGTTGGTGAGATGTCCCACTAGCAGGTGTTGATACAGAAGGGATATTGTCTTATCTAGGGTAGTCTTGTTGTCGCAGAGCATTTCGAACCACGATAAGTCCCGATGTAGTGCTTCTTTGCTCGGGAGTGTCCGATAGTAGGACCTTAGTTGCATATAGCGAAAGCATTGTAGGCTAGTAGGTTGGTTGCCCTCTAGCAGTTCTCTCAGGGTGGACATGCCCGTGTTGTTTAGTATCCTGTGGATGGGGAATGAATTCCCCTCTCCAAGGAAAGTCCCCGATGTCAGTGGCAGTCCCCCTCCTATCTGAGGGTTATGTTGTATCTGAATCATCGGGCTTGGTGTTTGAGATACGTGCAGAGCTATTCTGACAGCATCCCATGTTTTCAGTGTCTGCACTACGGTAGAGGTTGGTTCAAGGAACACCCGTGACAGTCTCTTTGAGTTCCACACTGACGCCAGAAAGGAAGGGCCGATATGTCGTTTATCTAGGTCAATCCATTGTTTGTATGCCACTCCAGTACCCGCTGTAGTACTGTCGCATGATGGTATTTGCACAAATCAGGGAGCGCTAGTCCCCCCCATGCTCACGGCAGACATATGATGTCCTGTCGGAGCCTTGCCTGTTTCCCATTCCAAACGAATTTCACCATTGCGGATCTGAGTGATGTGAAGTATGCTGTCGGCAGGGCTTGAGGGGATCGTCTGGTATAAATATAGAATCCGTGGTAGTACATTCATTTTGAGGATTGCAATCCAGGTGAACCACGATATGTGCGGGTATGCCCATGTCTTCAGATCCTGTTGTAGTCATTGTAGCAGTGGTAAGAAGTTTGTTCGGTACATGTCTCGCAGGTCTCTAGTGAGTGCTATTCCCAGGTATTGCATGTGATTTGCGCACCATCCGAATGGGAATTGGTTTTTTAATGCGTCTGCTTGGGCCGTCGGGACAGTAACGTTAAGTACTTTGCATCTGTTCATGTTCAGTTTGAATCCCGAGACCTCCCCATAGTCTTCGAGCAAAGTAACCAGGTGGACATTGTTGTCTCCGGATTTGTAATAACGAATAAAAGATTATCTGTGTATGCAGCCACTTTGTGTGCTGTATTACCGCTTTTGAAGCCCGGGGGTTTCATCCGATTTGTATACACCCTCTAGGAATGGTTCAAGGGCCAGGGCAAAGAGCATGGGGGAGAGTGGGCATCCCTGTCTCGTCCCATTGTGGATCGGAAAAGAGTCAGTGAGCGCTCCATTCACTCTCACCTTCGCATTGAGGCATTGGTACAGTGCACCAATCCACTTCATCATGTTCTCCCCTAAGCCCAATTCTTGAAGCGTGGCCATAAGGAATGTCCAGTCCACCCGGACGAAAGCTTTTTTTCCCACATCCGTTGATAATAGGAAGTCTTTTGACCGTTTCGCCAGGTGATGGATGGACTGTACCCTAAGAGTGCTGTCCCTTGCCTCCCTCCCGGGAATGAACCCCGTCTGGTCTAGGTGGACCAATTTTGGGAGTATTCCGCCCAATTCTAGTGGATAGTATCTTGGTGAAAAGCTTCACATCCACATTCAGAAGGGAGATTGGTCTATAGTTGCTGCAAAGTTCGAGATTCTTCCCCGGTTTCGGGAGGACTGTTATAGTAGCCGCTAGGGACTCGTGACGGAACTGGGCGCCTTCCACTAGGGCGTTGAACGCGTTGGTGAGTTTCGGGAGCAACATGGTTTGGAATTTCTTATAGTAGTCAAGAGTAAAGCAGTCAGGGCCTGGTGCACGGCCCGTTTTGGCGGCCTTGATTGCTCCCGCTACCTCTGCTTCCGTGATCGATGTATCCAGGATCTCCGACACCCCTCATTGTAGTCGTGCCCCCACGTGGGATTCAACGTATCTTGTCATGTCTGTCAGCTATCCCCTCCGGCAGTGTCAGCCTCGGAATGTTATACAGAGAAGTGTAAAACAAGCGAAACTCCGACGCTATCCTGTCTGGGAACTGCGTGACCGTCCCATCTGTAATTGACAACATCTTAATAGCTTGTCCTATTGTTTTTTTTTGTTTGTTTTTTTTTACTATGGTTTCAAATACTTTTTAGCAAGGGTATAGATGTATCACACCTTGAACAAGGCTTTCCAGAGATAGCCCACTAAACATAAGCTCCTTTAGGAAAAGGAGGCAAATACCATCATGATGATATGACATTTCTGGCTCGTCTGTAATGAAGGATTTAATAAAATCAAATTTCACTTCTCTAGAACGTTGAAAATCTCCTATAACTTTATAAAATTGTCTAAAACATTTAACAAGTGACATAATGCAGTTCTGACGATGAAGCCAGGGCAAACATCGCAAATGAAAAGGAAAGATACAAACAGTTTATTAATTATCTGTATTCTTTCTCTGTGCTGTCTGTCAGGTGCAAAGGACAGAACGTATAACAATGATTGATAGGGAGCTAAGATGGAGGCGCCCAACTGCAGGATAAAGGGTGTGGATTTCTACATTATATTATTTTATTTAAATACAGGGCTAAATCAACAAAATGAAAATCCAGGGAACTTTAAGACCAGTGATCTGTAAAATGCTAATACACCTGGAGTGTTGCCTTTAGGTAGCTCTTTCTCAGTATCCCAATATTTAAACCGTGTAAGCTTGTTGTGTAAAATGTTTCTTTTAGTAAACAATGACTCAGGGAAAACCTGAGTGTATCTT